CCATACCAGGATGGTAGACTGTGCCTAGAGCCCACCATTTAGCAGATAATTGGAGATATGACTTTTTCCCATGAACTTTGTAGGAAGGTAAGTAAAAACAAATGTTGCCCCCCTCCCCAGGGTGAGATCGCCTTGCTGTAGACCCCAAGGGCTGGTGCTTTTAGCATGGTCTGAATGACAGAAATTCCAACTGCTATTACATCCTGAAGACTCAGGCTACAACGCTGCCAGAAAACATAATTGGAAGCACGATTATATAGCACTAGTGGACCCTTCAATATACAGGTAATACAGTCAGTGTGGGAATGAGGAAAAGTTTCCATTTATCATCTTTTATGTTCCAGTAAACATAAAGCGATGAATGCAGTAAATTATGAAATAATCAACTGTATTGGACTGGATTTATTTTTCCACCTCTGTAACTTAAATTTAAAGGAAGGGTTACAATGATGATGAAAGTAATATTATTTCTTTGGAAATAAGAGCACTTTTCAGGAGGATGACCTGAACTGAACTGATTCGGGTACCGTATGGGCCTTAGACAGATGTCCCGTATCCTACCTTATTCATATCTGAAAGATATTAAAAAGTAAGTTGGAGAAGCAAGACATTCAATCTTTCTGGCCCAATAATGTCCAACTTCAGTGTTATATTACAGCAATTTGATCAAGGCCACAGCTTGCGTGAGAAAGGCAGATCTGCAGCAAAATTAAACTCTAAATCACATCTGTATCGTCTGTCATTTTACTACAGGTGTCAGCAGAGAGGACCAAACAATAAAGATAAGATATTTCCTATTGCACTGCTACTAAATCAGGAACTGGCCCCTTCCCACTCTAAAAACTCCCATGGTTCGGAACTTCCCTTTTATTTCAAGGTATGCAGCTAGTATTGCATTTAAAATCTTCTGCTCATTTTTGTTGGAGTTTTATCTGATATTGATGGAATTTGTGCAACTGCTTTTTTTTTTAGATCAAGAAGGGCTGAAATGTAGCTTTTCTTCAATAGTATAAAATTAAGTCTATTAGGATGATCATTATATGTACAAGACATGTATTGTAATGGGAAAAATGGTATGCTCAGCAACCTTGCGTTGAGGTATGTAAGCATGCAACTCAAGGGCAGCTAAGCAGGCTGGCCACACTTGTGTAATGGGTGTGTATCAAGGTCAACTGAGGCATTCATCAGGCTCTGTTGACCCTTTTAGCCTAGACCAAACAACTGTGATCTCTTGCCACTTATCTTAAACTTGACCATGGGAGGAATTTATGGCCATTCTAACACAAGAAGACTGTTTCTCAGCCAACTGTTGCTTAGCCCATTCACAGTAGATGTGGAGAGAATGTCCTTTTAGTCTTCTCTCTGCTGCTCAGTGCCTTTTGGCACAAGTTGTGTTGCTGTAACTGGCAAAGTTAATGATGATGATGATATACAGGGAGTCTTGCCAGCCCTCTAGATCTACCCGCCCAGCCCTCCACCCAACCTTTTAATGTCCAAACGTGTTTGTTTGAATTTGGTCAAAGCACACCAGGGTGGACCTCTAATACTCAAATCAGCAACTACAGACATACTGTAGATTGGTTTATTTTCTCAGGGACTTTTAAGTCTTTCCCTTTTGACCTTAATGGGGGCCCGCAAGCCCTTTTCCGTAAAGCGTATTCGGCGTTTTAATTCTACGTAATGCGTTGTAGCCACTTGGAATTTATCGTAAAGCATAAACGAGAGGTTTCCAAATTCAGCGTAGAGCGTTGTCGGGACCCCCCTTGCAGGCCCTCCTAATGTAAAACTTTTGCAGTCAAAAGGGAATTTTAAGGAGGGTTTTGTAGTGTTTAAAGTTTGTGGTTGAAACAATTCAGTAAGACAGTAGTAATACATAGGAAATGTGCATTTATGGTATCACAGTGGATAGGTCACCATGAAAATTGAACCACCACAAACATTTAAAGATTTACAGTATCCTGACAAGGACAGGTGCTGATCAGCTGTTGGTTGGAGGAAGGGTTATCTGTGGAGCATCTCAGCTCAGGACCCTACTGGTTGTAGATGGACTGATCCAATCTTCACATGGCAACATGTGGCTTTTGTAACACTGCAGTGTCTGTATATCCCCTGATGTATGAGCTAGGCTCTTCTTCTGTCTGACCTACATTTAAAAAAATAAAACTTGGTGAAAAAGTAAGATATCATCATGACAATGCCGAATACACTTATGTCACACGAATGAGATATTTCAGAGAGATTGCGTTTTGAAAATCTTTCTCGTATCTGCATTTACTGTACTTTCTTAATGTCAACATGCAGAGAAAAGGTCAAAATAAAATACCAGAATACTGTATGATGTTGACTTGAGTTGGCAAAAGTACAGGAAAATACACAGTAGCAGCTGGAACATGGCTCTGGCATGGAGGTTAATTGTATAGGGTTACTGCAGCTGAGCTCTGTTTAAACTGTACACTAGTGACAGGATTACTGCAGGCTGCCACAGGGCAGACCTGAGAAATGACAGAAAACTCACAGAGTCTGAAAGGTACGTGTAAGAAATGCCAATCTCCAAGCAGATATTAGAAAGGGAAAGCGTAACTTTTGCAGGCTGTCAGAAACAATCTTACCTTCCAAATGCTAACTAGTACTTGCAGTTTGTGAAAATTTAAAGCCATTACGATGCTTCAATTAATATCCAAGCAGATGGTATGTGGCTGAAAAAGACAGCATCAAATTGGCCAGACAGTATCTGTTAGCCAGGAAGTATCTTTAGATACTGCCTTGCCACTGTATGATCTGCTTGGAGATTAGCTTCAATATGATGGACAAGGAAATATAGATTATATTGCATTATAAAGCATTAAAGCCACACTGTTGAACTGACCTTATTTCTGATGTACAGTACATAAATCAGAAGCATCACACAGCGACACTGATGAAATTTTATGGCCACTCGAAATTCAATAATCACCCCCACATCTTCACAACTGAAGGTAAGGCCACACCAATTTGATTTCTTGGTTAACGGATTTGGCCGCTTCATTTTTTTCTGATTTGCCAAAAAAAAAAAAAATTCAGAATCAACTGCAAAATGATCATATTTTGCCCTGAACAGTTGAAAACAGTCCTTTTCTTCCTAGTTGTTACAGTTATTCCATCTTTTAATGCAGTGGTATCATTAAAAGTTAAAAATTCATGGTTTAAATTTTAAACCACCCTGGTGTGTTGACCTCATGGCTCTTATCGTACCATTTTGGGCCCTAATAGGATGCCAAGGCCTGTTTTTATATATATTTTTTTCGCCCGTCCGCTCTATTATTTTTCTAGAAAAATCCGTTAACCAAGAAATTAAATTGGCGTGGCCTAAGTTATGATGGATTGCTGGGAAACTAGGTACAGGGAAACACTGTTATTAGCAAGTGATTACTCGCAGCCAGAAGCAGCTGAACCTTGTGGTACAGGGTGATGATAAATTGTTTTTTGAAGTCAGAATCATGGCCTTGGCAGAGGTGATGTTGTGCCCACAGCACCAAGTGCTGATGGGAGTTTGTTTGCACACAGGATCAATCCCATGAAATTGTCCTTCCCAGAAGGCCTTGCCTTTGGGGACAGCAGTGGCCTGGTACAAGGGACAGCTGGTCATGGGACAAACAAGGCCATTTCCTATGTCAATAAGGTTTCTCAGTATACATGTGCATAGAACTCTGTAAGAATAGAGATCTGTATCTGTATAGCCGGTATAACCGCCCTTCGGCGTAACACACCAGCTTCGCAGGCACGTGGCGCGGTGGCAGCTAGCTATATCACACCGAACAACTTGTTACACTTAATCTTTGCACATTTGATTGCAGGAGTTGTTTAAAGCTTTCTAGTGATGATGTCCCAACTGTGGTTGGTGGCAACGAGTTCCAGTCTACGATAGTTCTGGGGAAATACGAGTTTTTGAATACCTCAATTTTTGGTTGATAACTCTGATATTTGAAGGCATGACTGTTTCTTATTCCCTAACTTAGGGATTGTCTCTATTGGAATTTGAAATTTTCTATATAAGTATGAAGAGACATCCAATTTAAAATGTAGGGAAGGAGCCATTCAGGAATAACAATGTCACATTGTAGTAAAGACGGTTTGTAACATTCTCTTGGAAATATTTCCAGATATTCTAGAGATATACATTTTTATGGGTTCTTTTAGAACAGATAGAACAGAGTGGAAAAGACTGACCAAGAGGCTGACAACTTACAGGCCTAAGGCCTAAAGGCATCAGGGTGAGAAGGTGAGAAGATGGGTTCTTTTAGTACAATGTATACATGTATGTGTGGACGTCCTGTCCTTGGTACCTCTCAATTAATTTTTTTATTATCCCCAGGAAAATAACTTGGCCTGTCTGCATCCTGATATTGTAGTTACCAGTTGCAGCGGTGCAGGATTAGAATGATTTTTGATGATAATAGAACAGCTGGAAGTCCAAAGGTCGGTACAGTTATCTAGACCAGACAGTACATTGTAGGTCACATCCTGGCAGAGATAGAGCACAATCTTAGAGCTGCATATAATTGCATGGTTTTAGTTCTGTGGTTAAGTACAAGATGGTAGAAAAAATATTGTACAGTTCTTAAAGAGCCTATGAAATGGAATTAAAAAGTCTAGTCATCATATTCTACGATTTTTGTGGATTTTAGAAGTTCTTTGCCTTGTGATTAAAATGAGATATTGTTTGTGTGATAATTCAGTCGGGAAGTCATGTTAAAACGTGCTCAAAATGCACAATATTTTCTGGTTTTGTGTGAATGCAAATAATATGCAAATGATATGCGTGACGTAGAAAGGCGTATCTCAGTCGAACTGTCATGGCGCGCCTACTAGTAAACAGTAAGAAAGTTACTCAAAATTCAAATTTTGCTGTATTGTGATTTTTTTCCATTTGTGTCTATGTGGGTCGTTGTGGACGGTGAGTGCTCGCCATCAACATGTGTCCTCTCCGGAGTTCCCCAGGGAACAGTTCTCGGGGCCACTCCTGTTCCTTATTTACATCAATGACTTGCCGTCCCGTCTATCACCCGGGACCACGGCTAGGCTTTTCGCCGATGATTGCCTTATCTACAGGGAGATTCGCGGTCAAGGCGACCAAGTCATCTTACAGAAGGACTTAATCGCACTGCAAGATTGGGCAGCAACCTGGGGCATGAAATTCAACCCTAAGAAATGCAACACCATGTCCATCACACGGAACAAGAACCCTTTTACTTGGATGTACGAGATGTGTGGCGAGTTTATCCACCAAACAGAGCAGGCCAAGTATCTTGGCATCACTATCAGCAACGACCTGAAATGGTCAACACATATCAGCACTGCTGTAACACGTGCCAACCACACACTTCATTTTCTCAGCCGTAACCTTCGCTACTGCCCCCGCCAAGTCCGTGAGACCGCATATTTCAGTCTCGTTCGCTCTACTATAGAGTATGGTGCAGTTATCTGGGATCCTTATCTGAGAAAGGATATTGACACACTTGAAATGGTCAACCGACGTGCTGCTCGCTTTGTGACCAGTAACCACCGTCGTCAGGATGTCAGCGTCACAGCCCTCCTGCATGACCTGAGATGGCCGTCACTTCAGTCTCGACGACAGCAAGCACGACTAGTAATGATGTATAAGATAACCAATGGTCTCGTGGCTATCCCATCCAGTCGGCTTATCCCGGCAGTTGCTCGCACCCGTGCCAACCACGCCCACAAGTACAAGACTCTGAGACCACACTGTGACATTGCAAAATACTCATTCTATGCTAGGACAATTCCTGAATGGAATAACCTTTCTGCCGACGTAGCTGAGAGTCCATCATTACAAACTTTTAAGAATCGTTTATCGTCACTTCCGTAATCATGTGTATATCTCCCCTCTGCGCGATGTCCCTGTATGTAGGGAATTTGCAGAGTAGTAGCTAGAACTAGAAGTGTTGGATCAACAGTTCAGGAACTGTATACAATACATACTGTAGGATAGCCTGTTCTTTAGAATTAAGGATCTTTTAATTTTTCTTGCATAAAGGACTTCATAGTCCATAAGGACTATAAATTATCTAGCAAAATATGCTTGCTATGATGAGCCTTAGGTCTATGATATAGTTATATTTGAGTGTCTTGCATTGAAGTACCAAAATAGGTTCTTTATCAGTTCTTACTGGCAGTGACATGGCAGGGCTCGAAATGCTGTGTGCATGTGCACCTTAGTGCACCCAAATTTGGAGCTGTGCACCCAATTTTTTCTGTGGGTGCACCAGCGCACTCAAATATTTTTGTAGGTTTACGTATGTAAAGAATCTGATGTTAAATGTATTGTAGTATACAGCATATTCTTATATAACATCTAAGTGTCAGAAAAATGATAAAATTATTGTTATAGTCCTTTTCTTACGAAAGTTTTTGCTCACATTCTACTTAGGCCACAGGAAGTAATTTTGGATTTATGGATGACATCAGCGCGCGCATTAATTTTCGCCTGATTTTGGAAAAAAACAAACAAGAAATTTTGTTGCCTTCTGACAGTGGTCAACATGCCGAAAATGGGCAAAGATGCCATGCGGAAAGGTGGATGGCAGATAACTATGAAGAGAGGAGACAAGACAAGGCTCTGAATCAATGTTTTGTTTCTTACTTTGAATTTGATGCAGTGATATGTGATGTTGGCTGTGTATATGTGATGTTCCCACTGAATGAAAAACATTTGTGCAATGATTGAGTCAAAATTTTAAAATGTAGGAATCTTGTATTTTTCGACCTGCCTTTGTTTTTTTTTGCCCACTCGCATTAAATTTGGAGTCTGCAGAGGATGTCATCCATAAAATTTACTTGCTGTGGCCTTATTTCATCTTGTATATGGTGCACCTACAATATTTGTTGTGCATCCAAGTGCACCTATTCCCAAAAATAAATTTCAAGCCCTGCATGGGAGGTAGGGACCTGCCTCTGGGAAGGACTTGTGATGGGGTTTCCCAGGGATATCCAGGGATTGCCACAAATAAAGCCTGGTGTGCTGCCTGCTGCCCAGTCAAGTTCTTCCTCTTATCATTTGCCAAATAAGCCGGTGCCAAGAGATAGAAAACAGCATCCAAAAGGGAAAGAGAGAACCAGTAGATCTACATGTATAGTGTAGTGAACTTGACTTAGATACAGGAAGTTTAGGACATTGGAGCAATGGTTTATAGAGCTCTATTAAGATGTTTACAGCCATATTTTTATCATATCGTCCTCTCATTCTAATTTTGTACCAAATCTTCTATAAGTTCTAACAGATCCAGCATACAGTATGTATGTATGCATTAGTACAATACCTACTGCTGAGTGCACTAATTAAAAACTGCTATTTAAGTGGTAAATGATTACTAGGTACTATTTATAATTACTAATCTATGGGATTAAGTGAGATAATTGACTTAATTACTCAACCTCCAGATATTTCTGCCATCTTCCAGGGATGCATCATTATGACCATTTTTGGACATTCTTAGCTTTCCTGGAATTATTGCACTGTCAAATTACAGTATCTCAATATGTGACTCAAAACATGTAAATGTATACATGTAAGATGAGCCTTTTAGCTTGCCAAATTGTTAGCAGTTGAATGAGTTGATATTTTTCATGGGATTGCAATAATTTTCAGGCTCGTCTCATCTCATCTACCCCTTAGCGTCATTATTCGACCATTGGGGCATCACAGATGATCTGACAACCAGTTTTCACCACCTTTTCAGGCTAAAGTTGACTTATTCCATCGCTAGCAGTTCAGTTCAAAGATGTATGCTTGTTTCCACACTGAGCCATATGCACAGTCTGATGGAAAATATGACAGATTTTCTTAGTCCAATTTGACACCACTATCAGCATTTCTTGTGGGCGGGCCTCACTACTGTTCAAGGTGTCTACAGCTACAACTGTAGGACCATAAAATTGGCAATCTTCCTAACCCCATTAATCCTCGGACATCCCTGACAGGAAAATGAAATTTCATTTTCTGGGACTCCCCCTGATGTATGTGTCCAGCGTGCGTACGACTCGCAACTGGTGGTTTTATAAGACCGCGGCTGGCTCCTGGTCTGAAGACATATTGGCCCTGTGTATTGCTATTTAGCGTGGCTATTGCCCATGTCCGACAGTGAGGGATGGTAGGACTGCTTTCCTAAATCAAACTAATCTGCTGGCTATATCAGCCAGAGCCAAAATCTCATCATTATGGTTCAAGGACCGGCCAGTTTGCCAGAACTAACCTGGTAGAGGAGAGCCTGTTGGTGATTTACGCCTACGGTACTTTATCTTTGCAAGCTATTTTTTCCACTTCAGTTTTACCAGGACAATGTTAGCTTGAAATGTCATCAATATTAGATGTGTATTCACAATATATGTTCCCAACAGTAATTTAAAGGAATAAGAAACACTAGTACAAATGAGTTAATTTCGTTTTCCAATTAGATACCAAGATAGTACAGTATATTGTTTGTATAGAGTTTCTCATAGAAGCCTGTTATATTTACCTCTTCAAGGTTGAATGTGGCACCTCCAACTTGACCTTGCACCCAGGGCAGGCCTTAGCGGATCAGTTTGGATAACTTGTGCAGACCTTACCGGTTTAGTTTGGATAACGTTTGCTCTCTGACCAATTAATCTCACATAAAACTGGAGATGGATGTCAGGGTACAGACTCCAGGTTGTGGTATATAATTTCAAACAAGCTGTCATGTTGGAAGAATTCAGCAGTAAAGAGTGGCTGAGATTACACCAATCTAACTAAACTCTAGGACTACAAAGTACAAGAATAAATTTAGGCTCACTGAAAAATTAACATGGAAAGAGAGTCTGAAGTTGCTTTGTACAGTACAAGATTCAAGGACTTGAACTTGAAGGAAGGGAAACAGAAAAAAATTCTATCTCGCTGTTTTCATCTTGAATGTTTGCTAATATTTAAGTTGCAGAGAATTAAGAAAATAGATTGCTCTGGTATAATAAGTCATTATTACACAATAATTCATAGGCTCTTGTGTATAATCAGAATTACCAATTATGCATAATGTCAACTCTATATAGCATCTTAGTCTTAGGTAAAAAAAGAGCTTATTGATGGTCTATTTCATCATGAAAAAAGCTTTTTAACATTCCTTCCCTAGCAGCCAGAAGATATATAGATTGCATGAGACTGATTTATTCTAATTCCATAACATTCATTTTACTGCTTGTTTACCAAATTTAAAGAACCGTTTCGTGGTTGTCCCATCTCTTCATTTGGGGAGGGTGCATGTGTGAGAAATGAGCGAGATTCCCCCTGGGCATATCACCCATTGTTAAGAAACCAATGGCAATTAAAATTCAATCTTTACAAAGTAATTCATATAATCAATTACTCCTTAGGGTGCAAAACAATCATGGATTTTTCTGGCTCCTCTTGTTGCACTAATTGAGGCCAATGCCTCTATAATAGTTTTCTTGCCAGAATCAATGTATTCTTTTTGTCCTTGTATCCCAGAAGAAAACTTATTTTTTTCCATCTTAATAACAGGAAAAATTCAGACAGTTGCGAGCCAATAATTTGAAATGAAACAATCTTTCCCTCAGCAAAATTTGATTGAACTAGGAAGTTTGTAAGAGCTTCTGATTGATTTTAGATTGCTGCAGATTTTTACCCTGTACGGTAGGCATGATACCTACAAGAATGTTGTAGTAGGTCCTGCAGCAGAATTACACTGATGTTTTGATAGCTTGTCTCTTCCACTCTGAGATAGATATCAGGGTCTTCTAACCTCAGGCCTGGTCCCAATTACTCACTTCATAACAAGAGGGTATTTTGAGGGGTTATCTGTATGTAGGAGCAGTCTGTATGGGGTTTATTGTGGTACTGAGGGTTACTGAATTTTTTCTTGTGAGCAGGTCACGCAAGAAGGTCTGTGAAGGTTGTCATAAAGCTATTAAGTCTGCTATGTACACTGTACATGTATGAATACATTGATAAATAAAGGATATAACCTGTTCTGCTGCATTTATTTCCTTTAATTGTTGTCAGTCTTCTACTGAATGGTAGAAAAAAAGCTACATTGCAAAGTTGGGAGAGGAGAAGGCTCATCCAGGTAAAACCTGACAAATGTTCGTTGTTTATCCACCGGTAAATTGGAGGGGAAAATGCTAAAACCCACAATTGGTTTAGCCATGTTTTATAGCTGTGTCCATGTCTAGACTGTATTTCCAAATTGCACATATTTTTGGAAATTCCCAATTATATCCCACACATAGGCAATTTACTTCTTTAGCTGTGCTTTGGTATTATGGCTCATAAATCGAAAGGCATTAGAGGGGTAGGGTCAACTGGATAACCAACTTGCCATCTTTTCTCCAAATCTTGAAATTATATCTTTAAATTGCTGATGTTGCATTTTCCATTATTTCTTTTGCTGCGTTTAAAGCTTAGGCCACACCAATTTAATTTGTTGGTTCTCGGATTCCCCTCTTCATTTTTTTCTGATTTGCAAAAAAAAAAAATTGCTTCTGGTCCTGAATCAACTGAAAAATGCTCATGTTTTGCCCCCAACAGTTGAGGAAAGTCCTTTTCTTCCTAGTTGTTACAGTTTTCCCATCTACCATTGCAGTGGTTTGATTAAAAGTTCAAAATTCAATGTTTAAATTTTAACCCGGCCTTTTATGTTGACTTCATGGCTCATTTCGTAGCATTTAAGCCTATAATAGGATGCCTAGACCTGTTTTTATTTTTATTTTTTTCCGCCCTGTCGCTTCATATTTTTTTTGAAAAAATCAGAGAACCAACAAATTGAATTGGTGTGGCCTTACTTTATTTAAAGTTTATGCATCATCAATATAACAGCAGTATGGACCTGGTGTTAGGTCCGCTGCCAGTATCCCTGTCCAAAATTCTGCAGATAATAATAACCAATTACTCTTCAAGGACCAT